GCCAGAGCAGGGAACAGAACAGGCAGACTGATGAAATACACTGCTGAGGGGAGCAGCGGGTGCACAGCAGGAGAGGTCTGCGGGCCGTGTGGGACTCTCGCAGGTGGCCAGGGATTGAACTGGCACTGCAGAGGCTGCGGGCAGCTTCGCAGCCCAGCACTCAACCACTGCGCCACCAGGGGAGGCCCTCATTTGATATTTTCTTCATGATAAAATCCTAGAAGTGAAATGGTAGGGTCAAAGATTATGTACATTTGAAGGCTTTTGATAAATATTGCCATAATATCCTTCATAAAGGTAGTGTCACTTTGCTTGCCTACCAGCAGTGAATGGAAGTGCCAGTTCCTCAAGACTGATTAACAGCAGGCACTTAACTTTTAAATCTGTTTCAGTTTATAGATATAAATGGTATCTGAGTAATTAATATGGAATTTCTCTGATTGTGAGACTGAATATATTCACATATATTTCGTGGTCAGCTATGCTTTATTGTGATTTGCTGCCTTAGGTCCTTGGTCCTCTGTTTTGGTCACCTTTTTCTTATTTCTTTGTGTTGTTACATATGCTCCACTAACTCACTGGCAACATAGCAGCATGGTTATTATAAATTCTGTAGACAGATTGGCCTGGCTCAAATCTGCCTCTGCCTCTTACTGGCTTTGTGATAGTGGGTGAGTTACTTAGTCTAAGTTTTCTCACCTATAAAATAATCAGGTGTTCCTCAGAGAGTCATTACTAGGATTAGATAAGCTGATAGATAAATGAAAGTACTTAAAACACTGTCTGGCACATAGTAACTACTACATAAATGTGAGTTATTATAAATACTTAAAATTCTGTAAGTAAGGATATTGACTCTGTATTATATTTGTTGTAAAAGTTTTCCCATTTTCTTATTTTGTATATTGCTTTTTACCTATAAATTTCTGTAAGTCAAATTTATCAATTTTTTCCTTCTAACTTCTGGTATGGTATAATGCATATAAACTCCTTTGTTATTCCAGGATTATATAAATAGTCACCAGGGTTTTTCTTTGTATCATTCTTTTTATTTATTTATTTATTTATTTATTTATTTATTTATTTATTTATTTATTTATTTATTTATTTATACAAGCACTGGGTACAGTCAGAAGCGCGGGAGGGTGAGAGAATTCACCGGAGCCAAAGCATGGAGCAGAGCAGGCAGAAGGACTGAAGTACACTGCTGAGGGGAGCAGTGGGCGGCAGGAGAGGTCTGCGCACCATGCGGGACCCTCCTCCAGTGGCCGGGGAACAGCCGGGGATCGAAGGATCGAACCGGTGCTGCAGAGGCTGCGGGCAGCTTCGCAACCCAGCGCTCAACCTCTGTACCACCAGGGAGGACCTGTATCATTCTTTTTAAAAAACTTAGTTATTTCACCTTTATGGAATTAATTCTGGTTAATAGGGTGAAGTAGATTCTAATATTAATGCATTTTTAAAATTTTAGTACTATTTATTGAATTAAGCTCTCATCGTCCCATATATTTTAAATACCATCTTTATAATATGAATACTTATGTAATACTTGTCACTCTGTACTTTCTGTCCATTTTACTAAAGTTACTATCTCTTCTGTTATCAATACCACATTGCTCAGATAATTGTAGCTTTAACATGTATTTTATATTCTGACAGTGGAAATGCTTTCTTTGTTATTATTCTATTTTATTTTTTTAGTTATCGCATCTCATTAACTTTTTTTTAAGATTAATTAATTAATTAATTTATCTATCTATCTATCTATTTATTTATTTATATAAGTACTGGGTACAGTCAGAAGCACGGGAGGGTGAGAGAATTCACCAGAGCCAGAGCAGGGAACAGAACAGGCAGACTGACGAAATACACTGCTGAGGGGAGCAGCGGGCGCAGCAGGAGAGGTCTGTGCACCATGTGGGACCCTCGCTGGTGGCCAGGGATTGAACCGGTGCTGCAGAGGCTGTGGGCAGCTTCGCAGCCCAGCGCTCAACCACTGCGCCACCAGGAGAGGCCCTCATTAACTCTTTTTTGTGTTTTAGCTATTTTATCTCATCAACTTTGGAATAATTTTTTCAAATTTCAAAAAACTTATTTTTAAGTTGAAATTTATAGAAATAAGTTCATTTCACAATAATTTAATGAACTGATATATTTACAATATTTTACTTCCTCATTTGATAAGTTAAGTGATCTATAAATTATTTTATATACTTAAATAAACTTACTAATTTTTTCCACTAAGACTGATTTATTTTATTCTATATATATTTTACATCATTCTTCCTTTTTGTACAATGTATGCTTTCTCCTCTCAGGTACAGTCCCTGTAAAATTACCACCACCAATTCACCTGTGCACCATCACCATAGTCCCTTGTGCTCTTCCCTCTCCTGTTTTGATCCCTCTCCCTCCCCTTCCCCTGCAGAATGTAAGACTGATTTTTTAAAAATTGTGGTAAAAAACATACAAAATTTTGAAAAACATGTAGATTCTATTATTTCCTTCTAGATTAATTCCTAGGTAGTTTATGTTTTAGTTAGTTGTGCTTTGGGAATAAAATATTTTTCCATTAGATATATAATTTTCTGCTATTAAATTTGCATCATAAAGGGAGGAAGTCTTTCTGTATATTTTGTAATTGGTTGCCTTAGCAAACTCTCCTATTTCTAATAATTATATCATTCAAATTATACTTTTGTGACTTTTTTTTTTATGACATTTGTTTTCTTTTCTCATTGCTACTCAGACTTCTAGTGGTTCTAAACTTTCTTGTCTCACTTCACTTTTTGCTGTGAATATTGGCAGTTGACTGGAGGTAACTATGCCATGTTTGGTGTCATAACTGAGAGCATATTTTTCACTGAGGAAGGTCATCCTATCTCTAATGAAAATCATTCCACAGCCCTTCTGTTGGTAATCACTGAAGGGTGGAGTACTTTACCATTTTGTGTTCAACATGATTTAATCTGCATAATTGCATGATTTAATTCTCCTAACAACCCTATGAAGTAGATATTGTTATCTCTATTTTCAGATGAAGAAACCAAAGTTTAGAGGAAAATGCTAGTTGCTTAATCCCCAATCACACAGCCACTTTATAAGAACAGTGACACATTTGAGCTAATTGTTTGGTTTCCCCCATGTTTTATAAAGTAATGGGAATAGTAGGGGTTACAAATTTCATTATTTTGTGAAATCCAAAAGGCATGTAAAGAAAAATATACATATATATGCATATAATATATAGTATGAACTCAATAGCTTCCACATTTTAATGCTCAGTAGAATCACCTGGATTGCATTTAGAAGTATAGATTGTTATATACTACTTCCAGAAATTCAAACACATTGGGGCTGTGCTAGTGTTAGCTCAGGGACCTGTGTTTTAATAGAGGAAATCCACAAGTCTCCCCTTAAAAGACAATATTTTAACTCTATAACTAGGGCTTTTGTGTCAGTCAATATATCTCAGAGCTCTTTGGGACATAGAAATTCTGCCCAGAGGTAATATATTAAGGTACTTATGTCAACTTTTTTTAAGGTTCTATTCTTACACAGTACTGTCCTTTCAGATCAACCATCAAGTCTATCTAGTTTGCTTAAATTGAGGAAGAAGAAATTAGTCTTCCAGCTGTGAAAAGTAAACATTGTATTGAATAAGATTTTGCTACCAGCATCTACCATATTGAGGGAATGGTTTTTTAAAAAACCTCTCTTGGGCCTCACTGGTGGTGCAAGGGGTTGAACACAATACTGTGAGGCTGTCTACAGCCTCTGCAGCACAAGTTCAATCCCAATCCCCATCCCCGCCAGCCTCGGAGCAACCCACATGGTGTTGCAGACCTCTCCTGTCGTGCACGTTGCTCCCCTCAGCAGTGTATTTCAGTAGACCTGCCTGTGCTGATCCCCACTCTGTCTCTGGTGAATCCTCTCACCCTTTGCACTTCTGGTCTGTACCTCAGTTCTTGTATGCATAAATAAATAAATCTTTTAAAAAAATTTCTTTACAACCCTCATTTTAGGTAAAAGTAATTAAGGAAGTTGTCCATTTGTTAAAGTTAGACTCCATTTGGAGTCTAACATTCATTCATTAGAAATGATTTTCCTTGGGCCTCCCCGGTGTCGCAGTGGTTGAGCACTGGGTTGCGAGGCTGCCCGCAGCCTCTGCAGCGCCGGTTCGATTCCCGGCTGCTCCCCGGTCACCAGAGGAGGGTCCCACATGGTGCGCAGACCTCTCCTGCCGCCCGCTGCTCCCCTCAGCAGTGTACTTCGGTCCTTCTGCCTGCTCTGCTCCCCGCTCTGGCTCTGGTGAATTCTCTCACCCTCCCGCGCTTCTGACTGTACCCAGTGCATGTATAAACGAAACAAACGAACAAACAAATAAATAAATAAAACATGCCTCTATAAAAGAAAAAAAAAAAAAAAAAAAAAGAAATGATTTTCCTTATTAGATAGTGTTGTTGATTGCTACTTCAACCAAGCCCATATCAGGAATTCTCTCTTTTACACGTGCTTTAAGCCTATAATTTTGGGAACTTTCAATAGAAACCATGTAATTTTTCATTATTGAAATATATTCTAAAGATTGACCACTATAATTTGAGTTTAATCCCTAATCTCTCCTTTTACATCTAGGGTGCATCTATTCTAGTGCTGTTAAACAGACACAAACTGAATATGTGTGAAAATTATTAACTACTTGATCTTTAATTTCTCAGTCTCTTGCGTGATTTTGGACTACAATTTTCTTATTAGAGAATAGATCTTATGCAGATGTTAGGTTTATCTTTCCCATTCACATCCTATAATTTCAACAGTAAGTAAAAGTTCACACAATTTCTATGATTATAGATAGGAATAGATTTCATTATGATTTTTGGAAATTAGCACCAAGTTGATGCAAACAGCAGAAATTTTTCACCCTGGTATTTTATTTACTTCGAAGGATATCTTATTTAAAAAAAATATATATCTAAACCCATGTATCTAATTCACAGGAGTTGGAAAGAAGGACATAGAAAAGGAGACTATGAAATCAACCCCTCCCACAGCTCCTAGCTGTCAATGGCCTGGAACAACTGGGACTGAGCTCCTTCAAGCCCCTTGGATGATGATGAATTGACCCAGAAACACTAACAGGTAGGTGACTAACTGGTGCGATTGCATGTCCCTAAATAACTCTTGGGCCTGGGTGCTTTGGAGTCTAACATTCATTAGAAATGACATTCCTCACTAAATAGTATGCTTCACTATTCCCTGGGGAAATGGTTTAATTAATTTCTAATTCCTTGATTTATCAGAATGATTTCTTTTCTGATGAGACCAATATAGAGAATGGTAGGAAAAGATAAAAAGTTGAAGAGGGGAAAGAGCCCTCAAAAAGTGTAAGAAAACCGGGCTGGGGCCTGGCTAGTTTCTGCCAATCTTTTGTGAATTGCTGTCTCCTGTACCTGCTTCACTTGACTGTCATTGCATCCCCTGCACCAGATGTTAATTTTGAGAGTTACATGAAGTCCTAGAAGAAATCTTTAGAGGTTGATTAAACTTCTGCTTTTGTTTGGGAATATACAGATTCTGGTTTCTACCTCTGCTCACTTGGAAGTTTTGAGGCTATTCTTTGCAATGGAAGTAAGTGTGATAATGCTGCTATTACTGCTGCTTTTTGGATCACATTCTGACAAGGACCTTACACTCTCTATAGCATGGCATTGAACACAATGCAATTGCCAACTGGTTCCCACCCTACTTTCAACCTTGCTTCTCAAGGGATGGGCACCTTATAGTGCTTATCTTTTGGGGGCAGGCTAGGAAGTGATTTCTCCCTGATCATTTGATACTTGGTCAGTTAGTTAATAAGGCAGTTGCCTATGTAGTAAATAGATACAAATTTAAAATATTTTCAATTTTAAAATACTATTTTCCAATAACCTTTCAGTATCATTACTCTGCAATCTATAACATTAAAAATTCACTAAACATTTATTGTACCCCAGATTGTGACAAGTACTGTCTTTAAGGAATTCTTCATTGGGGATTGGGATTTGAGGGAGAATCTCAACAGGTTTATTAGGGTTGCATAGCACAAGGGGCTGCTGAAGCAAAGAAAAGGTGACTTAACACCAATAGTTCTTCCTTCTCTCCTTAGACTGAAGCCTTCAACTTTTCATTTATTTTCACTCAAAGGCCCCATTTTTTCAGAGTATCTTACCCTAAACCATTTTTTCCCTTTATTATCATAATCAAAATATATTCATGAATCACCTCAGTGGTTTGCTGTCATCTTAAGTTGTCATCCACTCATCTTCTTAGTCACTTCACCAAACATTTTGGGGGGTTTGACACCTAGAATTATACTCTTGCCATCTTTTTTTAAAAAAAGATTTATTTATTTATTTATGCATACAAGAACAGGGGTACAGGCCAGAGGTGTGGGGGGTGAGAGGATTCATGAAAGACAGAGCCGGGAACAGAACAGACAGATTGACTGAAATACACTGCTGAGAGGAGCAACGGGCGTGACAGGAGAGGTCTGCCCCAACATGTGGGTTGCTCTGAGGCCGGCAGGGATTGAACCAGCACTGCAGAGGCTGCGGACAGCTTCACAGCGCTGTGCTCAACTGCCTGTGCCACCAGGGAGGCCCCTTCTCTTGCCATCTTTGAGGAACATTAGTGATCACATAACTGATCCTTCTAATGTACCATTCTCTTGGAGACCTTTTCAGTTCCTATGATCTTCACGTCACGTCTTTTTCCATTTCAGCTTTCATACCACTAGTTCCACCTTGGATTTTACCACCCTCAGCACTGCTTTATCAATGAGGTCTTAAAGGCCAAACCCCACCCTGCTCACAGCTTCTATTCTCCCTGCCCTGTCATTCCCATTTTCATTATGTCAGCTCTTGGATCTCACCAGATCTTTCAGTTCCTTCCAGTCCAAAAGAGTCAGTCCTCGTTTGATTTCATTTTCCTTCCTGGAAAACATAGATCTTCATCTGGTGTGTGTGTGTGTGTGTGTGTGTGTGAGAGAGAGAGAGAGAGAGAGAGAGAGAGAGCAAGCACTATATCTATATCTACCTTGTTTCAGATGACCTAATTTTACTGAAATAAAATTTATATACAGTAAAATGTACAAGCCTTATATGTACACCCTGAAAAATTTTCACTTCTGTATCACCTATATGACTACCACCCAGATAAAGATGTAGAATATATCCATTAACACACTGAAATCTTTCTACTACTTTCCAGTTAACATCCACCCTCCAAATGTGACCACAATATTGACTTCTAATCAGCAGAAATTAGTTTTTCCCATTCATGAACCTCCTATAAATGGAAAAGTTTCTGCTTTATAATAGAAATAGAGATTTAAATAAGTTATTATTGGCCACTACATGGTGGCAATTGAGTTTTTAAATGTTTTCCATTAGTTTTAGATATCCATACACAATAAAGATTTTTTAAAAATCCTTTTCCCAATACATTACTGAGATCTTTCTCCTTCCCTCAGAGTAGTGTTTTCCTGAAGACTCTTTTCTGTCCCTCTTTTAATTTTATATCATTTAGTTCATTGTGTTGATGCTTAGGTCACATCCCTAAGTCCAGCTCCAGAAAAGGGAACTAGTTCTTTTCTATCTTTCTTTCTCCGACTTTACACTTACTCACAGAGGAACACAACTGGGCCTAAGCAAAGGCATCTTTGGAACAAGAGATGCTTTTGGGGAGGCAAGCTGCTATGCAAACAAGGCCACATAACTATAAGGCAAGCATGTTATACCTTGATTTGAACAGAGAAGGAAGCACAATTTACTATAATTTTGATTGTACATATTCCTTTAAGCTCTCTAATATAAAAATGTACAAGGTATTGGGCCTCCCTGGTAATGCAAGGGGTTAAGCACCATACTATGAAGTAATCCACAGCCTCTGCAGCATGAGTTCTATCCCCAGCCAGCCAGGGAGAAACCCACATGGTGAGGCAGACCTCTCCTGTCTCTCCCGCTGCTCCCCTCAGCAGTGTGTTTCGGCCAGTCTGCCTGTTCTGCTCCCCGCTCTGTCTCTGGTTGATCCTCTCACCCCCCACATCTCTGGCCTGTACCCCAGATCTTGTATACATAAATAAATAAATCTTTAAAAAAATTTAAAAAATGTACAAGGCATTGTTGGTCCAATTTGTCCTATGTTGTGGAAAGGGAAGGTAAGGATCCAAAGGAGACAACCACCTTTATAATTTGTCTCGATCTCTTTGTAGTCTCCAGATGACATTGTCTATGTTCCCAGAAATCCATTCTGGGTACTATTTTCTCCTCCCTCTACATACTTTCTCTGGGGAATTTCATCATCATCTTCTGTGGCTTCAGTCATCATCTGTGTGGGTGTGACCCCAAAGTATTTTCATATCAACTCAACCTTGAACTGAGCCCTTGACTCTAGGTGCACTGTTCCTGGCTATGTGCATGTCCCACAGGCATCTTCAAGCTAATGGTTCTCAAACTGGACTCAGATCCTCTTCTCCAAATATGCTCACCCTCCTGTAGTCTACATATTGATGAGGTACATCTCTCCACACCCCTACCTGATAGTTTTACCTTATCAAATTCTCCTTGACCTGTATCTTCCTCTCAACTTACACTGTCAATGTCCTAGTTCAGGGCCCACCATCACCTGCCAGAGCTTGCCTTTAAACCGTGTTCTGTTCCCCTTCACTTGTTCTGTTCCCCCCTGCCAAGGGGATCTTTCAGATACAAGATCTGATCATGTCATCCCCTGATTTAAAATGTTGCAGTAACTTCCCAAATCCTCTTCTTTATCTGGCATGCAAGTCTTTCATGATCTGGCCCCTCCCTACTAGTTCAGACTTACCACTTTACCACTCTCCCCTCAAACTTTGGGCTTCAGTAACACTGAACTATCAAACATTCTCTGGATGTTCTGTACACTATGCCTTTATACTTTTGTTCACTTTTTGTAATGTCCTCTTCCTATTGTCTACCTGGGAAGAGTAGGGCAGCCTCAGTGCTACCTCATTTGTGAAGCCTTCCCTATCTATCCCTTAAGTATTGGGTCCCCAGCCTTAGAGACACAAAGAAATAAATTCTGAAAAATCTTGAGTGAACTAAAAAGTGTCTCCATGGAGACAAGTATTTTCCTGTATTGTAATTGTTTTCATTCTCTCTCTCCTACTTGTCTATCAGTTCCCAGAGGGCAGAGAGTCTCTTGTTCAGCCTTGCATAGAGGTGATGCTCAGTATCATTTGTTAATGAATGAATGAATAAAAAGTGTAGCAATGTGCTGGACACTTTGCAAAGTAACTAAACCATTTCTACTCTCTTTAGACTGATCTGTGGAAAGAATGATGAAGGCCAGAGCAGCAAAAGACAAAGCAATAAATAGCTATTCATTGGGAAATATTTATCTTGGGGTTTTGAACAATAGATTAAGGGCCATTTAAATGAGTGTGGAATGAGACACTCTAGGAAATTACCTTCTGTTTCTGATTTATCAGTGGAGGTTCGAAGGCTGGAGCTTCAGGACCTGGTCTGGGATGGTAGTGAGGGATCAGATCAAATTCATTTGTGAGTCTTAACGGCTAATCTATTGTAATTACCAACTAACTGAATACTGTCATTTCCCCAGAGCCACTGAGAGGGTGGGGAAGAGGTAGTGTAAAGTTCTCTGCCTGGAATAACCCTCCCTCTCCATCAAAATTGAGACTAATCCTTGGATTCCAACTCCCCATCTCTCTCTCAACTACAAGTAAGTTAATCAAAGATGATAAAGAAACAAAACCAAAGATATAGTGCACCCACCAGAAAAAAGCAAATAACTCACATTCTTATTTGTCTATGAAACAAGGAATATCTGAACACAAGATGAAAAAGTTGAAAGAGAGGAAGAGAAAGACAGAGATCTTTATAAAGACACAGTATTTGCACACCTAACTGACAAATTTTTTTGGATAACATCAAAGAAACTCAAAGAGCAAACACTAAAAGATAGGTTCAGCATCTTGGAGAAGAGATTCAGAATAGAAAGAGTTCTTCATTTAAGAGAGAGAATATGGGGGCCTCCCTGGTGGTACAGGGGTTAAGTCACAGCACTATCAAGTTATCACCAGCCATTGTGGCATGAGTTCTATCCCCAACAGGGAGCTAACCCATAAGGCACAGCAGACCTTTCCTGTCTTGCCCACTGCCCGCCTCAGTAGTGTATTTCAGTAGATCTGCCTGTTCTGCTCCCCACTCTGTCTCTAGGCCACACTTCTGGCCTAGTTCTTGGAACAAACAACACAAACCAATGGAACAAAATAGAGAACCCAGAAATAAACCCACACAAATGTGGACAGTTAATCTTTGAAAAGGAGTCACAACCACACAATGGGAAAAGGAAAACCTCTTCAGCAAATGGTGCTGGGAAGCTTGGACAGTCACATGCAAAAAAATGAAATGAGATCATTACTTAGTTCTGTACACAAAAACTAATTCAAATGGTTTAAATACTTGTATGTAAGAAACTATGAAATGCATAAAAGAGAATATAGTGATAAACTCCTGGATATCAACTGCAGAGATATATTTGGGAAATCAACTCCAACAGCACTGGAAACAAGCAAAACTATTTAAGTGGGACCACTGTGAATGAAACCACCACAA